GAAAGCAGAAAGATATATAAGGCGTGAAAACCAGGAGCTAGCCTGGTTAAGCTTTTAGGCTTTTAGCAGCAGTTCAGCTGAGATCCATTCAGATGAGGACACAGAGGCTTCCAGTTTGAGGAAACAAGATCAGCTGAGAAGTTGGCAAGGTGAGGTGGCTGTGGCTGGTTCTGTCTCTCTGATCTTTCAGCATTCACCCCAATACCTGGCTCCGGATTTGTTTTTATTAATAAGATCTTTTAAGATTCGTGTTACACAGGAGAAAGGGCCCAAATTGGTAAGAATGACTGAACACATGGGTCCCTTTTGTACCACCTTGTGTATATTAGATGCATACTGAATGTAGTTGCTGAGTGGCGTGGATGACTCTTTTTAAATGGTTCTCATGGTAACTGAGGTGTCTGTATGCAGACCACGGTGAAGCATTGGTCACCTAACCAAGGGAGCATCCTGCTCAGACTATCTATGAGGCCCAACCACAAAAGTGGCTGTGTCCCCTGCTCAGTGTGGAGAAGGAAAGCTTTCCAGGTCATTCTAGTACTCCTGCCATCAACTACTGTCTTGACCCCTGGCTTTGGTAGAAAAGAACAATCGACTTAGCCTGCCTGCCATGGTGCCTGCTTGGTTCCAATGTTTCCTACTCTGTAGACAGCTACAGGCACAATCCTAGTCCCATAGAGATTACCCAGTAGCAGACCAGCTCCTAAGTGAGGGTGGAGTGATCTCTGAAGCAGATCCAAGCTCTAATGAACAACAGTTCTTTCTGGTATGATGGCTCCTTGTGGAGATAACTAAATCCGCTTACAGAATGTACTCACCTCTACAACACAACCAGTCCACTTCTGTCTCTCTACAGATGGTGACCAGCTCATGACCTCCAATGTCTGTGCCAATGCTGGATACCCCAGGGCCATGGCAGAGAAGGCATTTTTGGTTTTATCTGGAGTCCTATTATCCGGACTGAGGGAATCATGGCACTGGTCATCACCCCTTTCAGAGTAATACTTGGTATGATCTCTGCAACAGCCACACTGGCAGTCCTCTGTAGGCCAGATTCCTGAGGCATTAGGCTTGGCTTTTCTGTTGAGATGAACAAGCTGAGCTTAGGCAAGTTAAGTCACAGCTTGTCTCCCCTTAGACTGGATAAGCCACAAAACCCATTTTCTGATTTCAGATCGGCTTGACAAACTGTCAAAAATTATTTTATTTCCCTTTGTTCTAGCAAGATGGAAACAAAACCACAGCCCCTTTGAGTACTTAGCCCCTGCGTTTAGTTATCTTTAAGCTGAAAGATGTAATCTAGCTAGATCCATCCTTCAAAGCCTGTGTTCCTTCTTGAGTGCTTAAAAAAGCTTATTGTGAACTCTGCTTAGCATGAAGTTTACTGTCTCTGTGCCCTCAGGTCCAGGAGTGTTGACTACATATGCACAGTGCAGTCAGTCTCCAGAAAGCTTGATCACTTTGAACTGCTGTCCATGATGTAGGAATTCTCTACTCCCACTCTGACCAGTTGGGTTTTCCCATCCTATGAGCGACAAGAGCTGATGAGGCTAACTGTCTTGGGAAGTCCTGTTTGGGCTGTCTCTTTTCAAGCACCTATTTGGGATAGGCTTTTGAAAACACGCATCATTTTCTGAGGTTTAATAGCATTTGCTTTGGCCAAGCAGTCTGCAGCTTCAGTCTCTGAGAAAGGTTCCCAGGGGTCTCTGCTCCTAGAAACAAGCCAGCCAGGAACTCCTGTGAGTAGTTTGTTCTCTCTTTAAGATTCGAGTTCTAGTTTTTGTTTGTTTGGTTGGTTGTTTTTGTTGTTGTTGTTGTTTTGTTTTTTGTTGGGGGAGCAGGGAAACGTAGCTGTTTGGTCTCTGGGACTCCGATGGGTAGGGCCTCGGGGCTAGAGACCTGATCTGCTGGTCCAGAGATGGGGGCTTACCTGTTCCCAGTCAGTGTAGGGTAAGCAACCAAGGAGGCTATATAGCAGGGTGTCTCTAGGATGACTGTGGCTTATAATAAGTTTTGGTTTTACTCAATTACTGGGCAAGCCTCAATGAAACATTTCACTATTAAGATAATAATTTATACTATATCAAGATGATAATAGAAAAATAAATAAATAAATAAAAATGAAAAAAAAAGATTCGGGGTAAAATGTGAAGTAAAGTAGTTATAACTCAAAGACTAGACAAGGGGGCAGGGATCTGCTTCTGAGTCCTCAAGTCACCCCACATCCCTTTCCCTTCCAGAGTATTTGGTGTTTGCTTAGAGACCAACACTTTTCCATAGGTTTCATCAAATGTCTTTCACTGGGAAATTCCACCATCTCAGGACAGATTTCCCGGCTTGTCATCTACAAGGGCATCCTAAGTCCCGGAAGCAGCTTAGTCTAGCTGATTCCACAAGGAATCTGGCATGCACAGATGAGGAAGGGCAATGGGGAGCATCTCAGTTTTGTGGCATGTACTTCAGGCTGTGCTCACTTACATCCAGCCCTTGAGGTATAGTTAAGAGATGGTTCATATGGTGTATCATTTTATAAAACTAATTGCAAAATTCTTTTAAAATTAAAAATAAGAGTTGAGTACCCTACGTCCAACATACAACTAGCACTCTCCCTCACAGAAGAAGAGAATCACTTGATTAAAATTGCCAAAGTAACAAATATAAGGAGGAAGTCTCCATCATATAAGCTGAGGCATGGTTAGCACTAGACACCACAAAGGTTGAGCAATGTGTGCCAGAAATAACCCACAGGGGAGCACGAATACTTGCAAAGTAATTGAGAGGACGTCTGCCAATTGGCCTTAAGACAATTCAGTTGGCATGGTTAGTGAGTAGATGGGGCAGGGTAGAGGTGGAGGAAGCTCACAAATGAACTTGGCCATCGTGAGGAGTTCTTGAAGGAGATGCGAGGTACATGAGATTCACGGGACGTGTTTTCACCTTTTACGTTTGACATTTTCCAAGTCCTGTATACATAGCAAACAGTGTGGTGGGTGGGGAAGGTGGTAAGATAACAGCAAAGAGAAGCACCCGGCACAAAGCAGATCCTTTTAGTACAAACGCAAAATAGATACTACAGAATTGCACAAAGCAGATCCTTTTAGTACAAATGCAAAATAGAATTTTGAGAGCAAAACAATCGTTAGAATTAAAACCAAAATATAGTCGCCATGGATGGTACTTGCTTCAAATGGGAACTCAGAACTCTTCGGTTTCACTGATAGGTATTGACAGGCAATGACTAGAATGCTGGTGCTTAAGAAAGTTGATCAAGTCCCCACTTGAAAAATAAAGTGCCTTTATGAACTGAAAAGACAGATTTGGGGGGGAAAGCATGTAGTTAAACCCATCAAAAGCAGCAACAAATCACAGCTTAAAAAACAAAGGGAGCAATTTTTAAAAAAGCTAAAATGCAAATGAGTGAATTAGAAAGGGGTGGGGTCCTAGCCAAGAGTAATAAAGAAAGGCAGAATACACAAACTATGGCCGAGAATGGAGATAGAGCTGCGAGTACTCATTAGATGGTTTCTAGAAAAATTTAATTGTCCCAAATCTACAGCAGACAAGATAGAGTATTAGAGCAAGCCAGTGCCCATCCAGGAAAGAGAAAACACCCAGAGATCACACGATCCTTCCTGCCCCCTACACATACATTATCAGCCCTGGATGGAAGTGATTCCCATCAAATGCCAAAGGAATAGAAAAGAAACTAAGATATTTAGAACACAACAACCAGGACTTTTCAAACCATTACAAACAAGATGGAACCCTGAGGAGTTGTGAAGACAAGCATTTTGTGTTATATAAAGTCATTTTCTCTGCACTCAGGAGGCCTACCCTGCCCTACAAAGAGCACCAGTGGGGGGCTGAAATCCAGGCTAATACCAGACCCACCATGCTGCCTTTGTTTCCCCCACATGCCCTGTACCTGTGCATGAAGCTACAGCATTAATGTGCTCTCAGGTGCCTACTCTGGTGTCCTTGTCACTGTTCTTTTCTTTTGGGGGGCCTCCATTGCACAGGACCTTTGATAATGTACCAGCCAGTTTGATTCCGTGACTAATGGGCAGGCAGTCTACACGACACGGATATGCTGATTCGGGTCCTGGAGAGACAGAAGGGGACTCTGGGAGATTCCACTGTGCTGTTTGGGATGGCATGCGATTTAAAAAGTGATGGATTGTTTGTTCCTGAAATTTCTGCGCATTATTTTGGGGGCTGTTGTTGGAGACAAGTAACCAAAACTAGGGTGAAGTCAAATCACTGAGAAGGGGGGACAATTGTACATTTTGATATTAGAGGGCCTGGAGAGGTGGCTAAGTGGTTCAGAGTACTTGCTGCTCTTTTAGAGGACCAGAGTTCAGCTCCCATTGCTTCCATCCTCAGGAGGCTCACAGTCATCTTTAACTCCAGTTCCAGGAGCTCCAACTACCACTTCCAGTCACAAGAAGTACCAGCACTCATACAAACCCACACAGAGACATGTAATTAAAAAAAATAAAATACATCCTTAAAAAAAGGATTCCTTTGTTAATGAGGAGATCCTTTTTGAGAAAAATTATTGGCTTTTGTATAAAGGACAAAACTACTCTCCAACACTTGGGACAGGCGTGGACCGGGTGGCATGGGGTGTTTTAATGCCATTTGATAGCACTATTATAATAGTGATTATGACTTTGTAATTCACCTACAGAAAGCACTGATGTTGAGTAGTGTAGATGGATGACAGTAGCTAACAGAGCCTTTATTCTGTGTTGGGAGCATTTCAGAGCTCTTGAGGTATATTAATTGCCACAAAAACTGTATGACGGGCAATATGATTGTTCTGAGGTCCATACTCAAGGAATGCAACTGCCAACAGGCTTTCTGGAAGTTAGGGAGCTGGAACTGCAACCAGCCAGGGAAGTCAGAACCCTGACTGGGTGCTTCTTCAGTTCTTGGGGTCCAAAAGGGGACTTGGCTTCTTTACTCTCCCCAGATTCAACAATTTCTGCTTTCCACAGGGACCTGATGCCCAAAACCCTGGAGGGACAGATCACCATGGAGAAGACGCCCAGCTACTTCGTGACCCGGGAGGCACCCGCGCGCATCTCCGCCATGTCCAAGGACACCAAGCTCATCGTGGTGGTGCGCGACCCGGTGACCAGGGCCATCTCGGACTACACGCAGACGCTGTCCAAGCGGCCGGACATCCCCAGCTTCGAGAGCCTGACGTTCCGCAACCGCAGCGCGGGCCTCATCGACACGTCCTGGAGCGCCATCCAGATCGGCCTGTATGCCAAGCACCTGGAGCCCTGGCTGCGCCACTTCCCGCTGGGCCAGATGCTCTTCGTGAGCGGGGAGCGGCTGGTGAGCGACCCCGCGGGGGAGCTGCGCCGCGTGCAGGATTTCCTGGGCCTCAAGCGCATCATCACCGACAAGCACTTCTACTTCAACCAGACCAAGGGCTTCCCGTGCCTCAAGAAGGCGGAGGGCAGCGGCAAGCCCCACTGCCTGGGAAAGACCAAGGGTCGCGCGCACCCCGCCATCGCCCGCGAGGTGCTGCGGCAGCTGCGTGACTTTTACCGGCCCTTCAACCGCAAGTTCTACCAGATGACCGGCCGCGACTTCGGCTGGGATGGATAGCAGATATAATTTAAAAAGAAAAAAAATATCAAAATATAATATATTTTTTTACCAGTCGGTAGAGGAAAGACATTTTAATATTTGTGTATTAAGTATGTGTTGCAGTAGTTTTTTTTTTCTCCTGTCCCCATGGATAACCAGCATCAAACTTGCGCATGGCAGAAAAGGAGATTTCATGTATCTAAGCCCCTCCCATCTTCAGTTTGTTTATGTTCTGAACACTCATTCGCAAAGGATAAGCACCGGTCCCCGCTAAACCTTTTAAGAAAATCCCCAGGGCAAACCTCCCTTCTGTTAGGTACAGAAACCTGACGGAATTGAGACCTGGCTTTCCATTTCGCTCTCTTTCTCTTGTACCACTTTTTCTCATAAGTCATTTCTCAGTTAATGATACTCTGTGTATGCACAGGGCAGTTTTCAATTGTCGCTTTGATCCTTACACTACTGCTGCAAGTTTGTGGTGCATTTATAGAGACCATCATTTTCTATTTTAGAGGTAAGGGAAACAGTCTCAGGGAGGTTGAAAGACGTATCTTAAAGCCAGCGGGATGGTGGATCCTGTCTGCCACTTTTTCTCTATTTTATGACTGGGGTAGGGGGTGGGGCTTAGACACCTGGGGCTTTAGAAGCTCTGGGGTGACCCCAAAAGGGCAGAGCGTGTTTGTTACTGCCATCTGAGTTCCAGGCTGCCCTATGGAACACACAGCCTCATTACATAGCCGTATTCATGGAAGTCACTGAGATGGGGACACAAGCTCTCTGGGGAGCCCCTCTTGCCTCTTGGCTGATCAAAGCATGCTGAGCCAAGGAAATCTGACCCATGGGTGGTCATCTGAGTTCCAGAGAAATCACCGAATTCTCCTATTGAGGGAAGATGGGCAGAAACAACGAGGAGTGTAGCAGAGTGCCACTCTCCTTGTTTTTGAAAGAAAATCTCCCTTCCTTTGTAGTACCTCATCTCCGACCATGGTTAAGAAGTCTTTCTGGCTCCCCCCAGTTTTCACAGACCTGCCACTCAGTCACTTTACCCGCCTCCGCATTTCCTGCTCACATGAGTTATAACCTAATGCTCATTCATGATTGGAAAACATTCTAAGAAACACAGTTGCGGACGCAACCCCACCCCTTCTTGCCCATCCCCTGTCTAAATGGCTCAAATGAATCAATAGTGTATTGAGAGGACTCCTTGCTCTCTGAGTGGGTATTAACGAGATTAGCATTAATGGGAATTAAATTGCTTTAGCGAGGAGCACATATGCACTGAACATATAAAGCATTCATAATTACTCCGTCAGCAACATTCTACCACAGGTTTAAGACCAAGAAGAAAATGCTTGCTGTTCCATCAATATTTTATCTACTAAAATTTAAAGGGCCGGATACTCTAGTCTACTAAAGTAAAAGTCTGCTTTTCTCTGCTGTCAATCAAGAGAAGCTAAGTTGTTTTTCAATATGCTGGGTGACTGTTAAGTTTGTCATAGGTGCCCCATCAGGGGTGTCCATGTCTCTTCAGAAAACGAATATGGGGTTGAAAGGAAGTGAGAACGTTCTTTTAACTTTCTACATGTTTTGTCATCTTCAGGTTCATTTGTTAACGTCCCGTTTATGGGATGTAAGCCCCAAACTCAGGTCACTTTTTCCGCTTGGTCTCCTTCACTTCCGTGCCCTCAGCCTTCAGCGGCACAGTCTGTTTTCAGTGGACGTGCGTCCTCACCAGCAGCCACGAGAGACTCATGTTAAGCTCTGCTCATCTTTGAATTTGTTACGTTTGTGCTTCTGAATCTTTTGTATTCCTCTCCCTGCCTGCCATTATGCAAAAGCGGCTTGCACAAAACCAGAATTGTATCTAACAGCTGCACTCAGTAACCTTCCTCTTTTCCCAGGGAAGGGATAATAAAAGAACAAAATCCGAGTGCAAAGGATCTCTGGCTTGTAGCTGTTTTTGTTCGGATAATTTAAGTTAGGAATCAATGAAAAAGAGTCTTCCGGGCAAACTTTCAAACTTGTGAGTGTCCCTAAAGGTGTCTGAAGTTTTGAATCTTGGGCTAATGGATGATGAACAAGACTGGGGTTCTCTCGGTTTCACTGAAGACATGGGGCAGAATGCTTCTGCCTTCAGTGGAGAGCGCACTCCTGCTGTGAATGGAATTGGCTCTCATTTATGCTGTCCATTTAGCTACACCAAACAATAGGCTTTGATCTCAGGTGGAACAGGAGGGCCCTCCTTCCTTAAGCTGTCTTCTGTGAAGCCATGCTCACCACCCCGTGCTTTTCTTTGGGCTGGGACATTATCAGGGACAGCAGCTTCAGGATGACCCCTTAGCTTCTGGACCATGGGTACAGCATCTGAGAGTATCACTCAGCACCTGAGATCCATTGATTTTATTTTAGTATCTGGGCATCAATAGGCTTCTAGAAAATAGATGTTTATTATTCTACAAGGATTAATCACACTCTAATTTTCTTATGTTTGTAGCATCTTCAACCATAAAATAAACTTCAGTGACTGTGTGGCTCGAATCTCCAGCTTGCATTCCACTGGAGGGCTTAAAAACACAGACATGCCGGTAAAGGCCCAACCCCCTCCCCCCATTTTACAGCTGCAAATGGGAGGGCTTTCTCCTAGCATCCTCCTCTGTTCTGCCAGCTGAGCCATACCAAACTTGTCACCCACAAATGGGTCTGGGTCTGTAAAATAGTCATGCTTTATAGTCACAGAGCAGACTACCCCGTCAGCAGCTGAAAGCCATTACTGCTCTTCCAGAGGAACAGAGCTCAGTTCTTAGCACTCACATTGGAAAATTACAACTGCCCATGAATCCAGTCCTGGTGATCCAATGACTTCTTCTAGCCTCTAGAAGCACTACAAGTGCACATGCATGCACACGCTCACACGTGTGCACGTACAACACACACACACACACACACACACACACACACACACACACGCATGCATACTTGAAAAATTTTTTGCAAAATACGGTAACCTACCATCTCATATAAACAGCAGCTTTCCAATCTCATTCACATTGCCTTACAGGTGGAGGAAGTTAAGATTTAAGAGTGTGGTCCTTAATAAAAGATAACTTTCCATCCTACGGAAATGTCGAGACGCCTTTTTGGTGTCCCCAGAGATAAGAGCTCCTGATCTCTTAAAAGCCAATGCCTTGACTGCTACCAAATATTCTGTGCTACCCAGATGAACCTCCAAGACAAAACAATAGTGTCGATCAAGATGTCAATCATGCTGAAGTTCCTGGCTTAAAATGAAATCAATCAGTCCTAAGGCCAGTGTGTATCTACGAATAAAAGGCACACTTGTATTGACACTTGGCTAATATCCTCTCAGCCACTATTCCATTGGAACTTGTAGTGAGGACATCCATGTTTGATGTCCTTTGCCAAGAGAAGTACTAAAGAGAAAAATATCAGGCTTTTCTAGTTACAGTTTCGGGAGCAGCTCCTAATGGATGGATAAAGATATTTCCATGAAGCAGGATCAGTAAACTTCAGGTGGGAAAATAATGACCCAACAAAATAGGCACTCTCAAGGTCAAATATTGTAGTTTCAATTTGTAACCAAAATGCCATGATAGTATTTCTTGTCATATGACAAAACAGTGTGACTAGAGAGAAGTAAATACCTCCATTTCTCCTGAATGACTCAAATCAGATGGATGTGATACAGTTACCAATGTCCTCAGGCTGCTAAAGAGTAGCAAAGATGAGGAAATTCCTGTTGCTCCAAAGCACAGAAACCCTTGTGTTTTCTTCTTATAGAATGAGGGGAAAGCAGCCATGGCTCTAAACCTAGAGCAAGTGTCACTGATACTCAGTTCCATGCAAACCACTCTATAAAAATTCACTCAAATTCTGCAGCATCAAAGAAAACAAGGACTTCGCCATTCTGAACCTCCAGCCCCCTTTGGAAACATCAGCTTTACTGCATTATCCCTGGCCCTTGAAACATTGTCATCAACATGCAGACACATGTGTGTAAAGTCTCAGTCCTGTGGGAGGAGAACATGAATAGGGAAATTATGGACCTGTTCCTTAGATAATGGAGGCCTGGGATGGCAGGCCTACTATTTAAGACCTGTCAAAATATGCATCCGGGGAAATTAGGAGACCTTGCAACATTCAGAGTGAAGTGATAACATGGTGGAGTGTAGTTGTACTAGTAAAAGCTGTATCTGTCATGCACTGTGCTGCACAGCTTGCTGATGCCTCTGTGTACAGTGGCAGGAGTCTGCCATGCTGCAATCAAGCCCACATACTGTAGCTCACGTCTGCGTGCCACGGTGTCTCTGTACCTTGGCATCTCTATATCTTGACCTGCATGAGACATGAAGTAGATAGCTGTTTTTGGCTCCATTATTGTGTTTAGAAGCCCTTTTAAAACTATTTTAGGCTTTATGGAAATTCAAGAGCCCTGCATTAGTACGCCAAATGTAGCCTGAAATTTTCTCTGGGTCCCGCCAAGCCCCTGCAATCCTGTGGCCCACTTATAAAATAATCACTCAGAAACTTGTATTAATTATAACTGCATAACTGCTTGGCCATTTGCTCAGGCTTATTACTGACTAGCTCTTACACTTAAATTAACCCATAATTCTTAATCTATGTTTAGCCACGTGGCTTGGTACCTTTTCTCAGTTCTGCCTTGTCATCATGCATCCTCTGTGTCTGGCAGGCAACTCATGACTCAGCCCTCCTCTTCCCAAAATTCTCCTCTCTGCTTGCCCACTTATACTTCCTGTCTGGCTACTGGCCAATCAGCATTTTATTTATCAACTAATCAGAGCAACACATGTTCACAGCATACAGAATGACATCCCACAGTACACTCCTGCCCACAAAATCTGTACAAAATCTTTTACAGAAACTATCTTGATTTCATTCCACTTCTCTTATACACTTCAGTCTTTTAATAACTCCTGTGCTGAAACTGTTCTGTCAAAGTTTGTGTATGTATTTGTATGTCTCTTTTCAACAAGACTCTCGTTATCATTTCCCCCTTCAGGAAATGGTTTTGCTCCAATATCATACCTCACTTTTCATTCAAACTGCTCAGCCTTTATCTTGTACATTCGGGGCTTCCTTACCTCTCTAAGAATGTGAATCTTCTTTCACAGGTAAGTTCTCTCAAGGAAGAAATCCCCTTCCTGCCAACCTTCAACTGGGTTGGTTTGAAACTTCCTTCTGTTAATGTGAAATCCAAGAATACCAAGCAGCCTTGGCCTTAACTGTATAGGGTCTGTCAAGAGCAGAGCTGGCCCCTCTGCATCTACACATACATCCTGATCCCTTTCAGAGTCCTTGTCCCCTGTCACTTGATGAGGTGGTTAATTAAAAGCTCAATATCAAGAGGATGATGGTTGATTAGCCCTAGCTACATGCAGTGAGTGCACAGAGAATTGGAAGTGTGTCTCTTCCATCAGCCTCATCTGGGTGTTGTGGATGTCCGGCCTTATCTGGGTTTTTCCCACCGAGGTTGCAAATCTCCACCATGCAGTCACGGTACCCACTGTTGGTTTCCCTCACCATGTCTTCAGTGTTTACCTCTCAGTGTCTTACCAAACAGCTCTCCCCCTGGTCCTTCCCACTGTGTCTATGACATCCCTCTTAACCGCTCTGCTCTGGGCCCATTTTCTCCCACCTAACCTGCTTTGTCAGTTTTACTGCTCAGTCCTTTGTCTGTGTTGCTGCTCTTGTGATGTTTTCTAGGAAGCTGAAGCTGCTCTGGGTCTGTGTGTCCCCGTCAGTCCATCATCTCCACCAGAGATATTGCTTCCCATATGCTGTTCGAGTCTAGGGATGAGAATGATTGTGAACAATGTTACTATATCCCTTAACTTATGTGGCATTGCTTATCTGAGAATCATGTTTTTGATTCCACCTCTTTGGGTAAAGAAATGTCACTCAAGTAGAGTTTCATGCTGTAGCCTAGAATGCCCTTAAACTTGCAGCAATCCACCTGGCTCAGCCTTGCAAGACCTAGGATTTTGAGTATGCATGCCGTGCCTGTTCCTACTTCTTTTTAATGATGTGCTTTAGAATCATCCAGCCCTTCTACCCTAATGATGAAACCCTGTGCCTTGTGAACAATCTTTTTAGTATATTTAGTTAGCCATCGATGGTGAAGTCAACTCAGTATGTGGAGTCTCCATTTCTTATTTATGAATCTAAGCATCAATGATGACCAACACTACTGTCAGGGTCTTTTCCATCCCTAAGACATGCCTGGAGACATTGCATGTTCCTTTGTTTTTCAATAATTTTTAATCTTATATGTGTGGGTGTTTTGCCTATATGCAAAAATGTGCATCATGTGTGTACCAAGGATGCCAGAAGAGGGCATGTGGGTGCTGAGAATCAAGCCAGGGTCCTGTATAAGAGCCGTCAGTGCTCTTGGTGGCTGAGCCATCGCTCTAGCTTCTGGGGCCATTTCTGAATGGGGCTGTCATCAGTGCTACTTGGAGTCAATTTTAAAAAAATCATCACCATTCAGTCTCTCACTTTGTTCCTCATAGACACTGGAGACTATGGCCAGAGATTGCAGTTATTCATGGATACCAGTGCCAGGCATTGCCATGTACAGCTGTAATCACCAAACTTGTGAGACCAGAGCAGAAACAACCACAAATTCAAAGCCAGCCTCGGCTACAAAATAAGAACCCATCTTAGGAGAAGCAACAAATCTACTCCTTCACCCCCCAAAGTCACCAAATTATCTATGCCATATGGTCACCAAATCCTTCTTTCTTCTCCAAAGCAGTCACATTTGTCAGTGTAGGAGGAAATGCTCCTGCCTTTGAATTGTGCCACTGTGTGTCTCTTCCCTTGTTCCCGGATGTCCTGACAGTCCCCCAGCCCTGAGCTCTGGGGCCTTATCTTGTATTTTTCTTTCCCTGCTTCTGGA